TTAATCATGTTATAACATTTAATTAATTTTTTATTTGTTGCAACATAATAAAATAATTGTTGTTACCATCTTTAGTATCAATATAATTAATTATACTGTATACTAAAATTTATATCTTTATCTATACTATAATAATAAAGTTATACTATTCTGTGCAAGCTTTTTTTATAACCATTAATTTGACATGAAGCTTTAGTATTATCCTTATTAAGTTTAAAAATTTTTCATATTCAACTTGTTTTAAGAATTAAAATTTTAGTTGAGGTTTTTTCTTAGTTTTTGTTAATTTCTAAAATTTTGTTTTAAGATCATCAATAGAAATCAGATATTATGATATCTTGTATCATTATATGACTGGCTATCTCCAGTTTCATAAACAAAATCACTTTCACTTTCTTGTATTGTTAAATGACTAATTTTAGCTTCATAATCCGAATTATATTCACTTTCATCTATTACTTCTTATTTTTCCTTATTTTTTTTTGCCTTTTTGGCCATTGGTTTGTATTTACTTTATATTATTATTGCCATTTGTATTCAAAAAAAAGTTTCGTGTAAAAGTGTGAGAATTATTTTATGAAATAATGATCAATTTTTAAATGGAATAATATGATTATATAAATAGTAAACAAATTTAAAAAAGGGAAATAATGATCAGCAAATAGAGTAAAATAATCTGTTTTTAAATATTATTAGTTAATATAGATTATAGCGATAACAATTTTTATAATAAATGCCATATAATAAACTGTTTATTCAATAAAATAACTGTTATTGAATAGTACTGCGCCATAATAAATAGATTAGATTTTTTTATTGATTAAATCGATTCTAATTCAATTTTCGATAAATTCGATTTTAGTAGAATCGATTCCAATCTCTAGTTCAGTTCAAATTTGAGGATAGATTATAAATCTAAAAATGCTATTCTAAAACTGAAACCTTGAATAATCCAATCTGAACTCAAAATTTTCAGATTATCCTAAAATTTCAGGTTATTAAATACTAATAAAGTAACCTTTAAAAGTTCAGATGCGAGTATTTTTCTAATAAAAGTCACCTCCGACAGCTCGGATGCGACTTTTATTATTAATTTTTATGATAAAAGCCACCTCCAAAAGTTCAGATGCGACTTTATTATTATTTATTATAATAAAAGTCGCCCCGACAATTCGGATGTGACTTTATTACCGCCTCCAATAGTTCGGATGTGACTTTTATTAGTAATTTTTCACCTCCGGTTTGACTTTTATTGGTTTTTTTCCTAATAAAAGATGCCTCAAAATTCGGAGACATTTTTATTAACTGAAACATCGGATCAATCAGAAATTTTCGGTTTGGTTCGGATTTTTTTCAGTTCGGATTGAATTTTAATCCGAAGGAACCGAAATTTTTCGGATTGATTTTTTACAATCCGAACCGAACTGAACCGAAAACGTTTTAATTATAATATATTTATACTAGCATTATTAACTTATCTAAGGTTTGTAAATTATTTATTAATTAAATTATAAATTAATAACACAAACTCAAATAAATTAATTATTAAATCCTATACATGAAGGGAGGGCTTATGATAATGAAATAAATTAAAAATATTGGTTTCTAATTAAAATAATCCCCTTTTAAAAGGTTGTAATAAGTGAAACTATTTTAATTCTTGTTAAAAGCTGGAATTTACCTTCAGTTATAACTTTATCTTCACCTTCTAACAAAGAATAAAATGATAATAAACATTTAAATGAAATAAAGAAATTCAAAAAATTATTCGATAAATGTAGCAATTTTACTTTTGGTGAATTATGAATGCTGATTAATTAAAGAAGAAATTACAGATGAGAAAATTGTAAATATGGTAAAATCATGTATAATGGAGATTGGAGAAGAATTAATTTTACAAAATTTGCTTCAAAAGCATTTAAATCATTAGCTTTTTCTGATAGTTCCGATACTTTTATATAGAACACATAGAACACAATAATGGAAATATTTTATATAACCTTAAAAATGTAGAAATCAATTGGCATTAAATTGGTTGGTTAATAAAATGTTACGAACTTTTCTGATGAAAAATATATTATTTTTGGAGAATTTTATTTATTAGTAATCGTTTTTTTTTTTGAACATTCAAATATCGCGAATGTTACAATAAATGTCACGTGACTTCGATATACCGAGTCTTATCAATGAATAAATCTTATAACGTTACACAACATATCTAACGAACCAAATATGGATGGGTATTAAGTATAAAAGCCGATCATTCAAAATATTTTTTTTTTTTTTTTAAAAAAAAATGTCTGCATCATCAACTACTACTCAATCAAAACCACCTTTACGTTCAGAAAGAAATCTTTGTTGGAAATTACGGGATGAATATTTTGAATGTTTGGAGAAAATTACGCCATTAATCAATAACAATACATCAAGCGGCGGGGATATTAAATTAATTGTTGACCCAATTTTAGTGCAAGACAATGACGAAATACAAAAATTAGTAAAAAAATTTAATTGTTGGAAGAAAAAAGAAGAATATGAAAAAGCTTGTATAACTAGTTGGGTAAGTTTATTTTTGAAAAGGGTGAGAGGATTTTGAACTTTGTGAATCTTCATTAATTATTTGATTTTTCTTGATGTTTGATGCTTGGATAAAACTCGAATTTATCCCGTAAGGTTGAATATTTTAATACACGAAGACAATTAGAACTTAAACAACGTGCAGAAAATATTAAGGAAACTGGAAAAATCTAATGTTGGCAATTTGAATAAACAATTTTTCTCCATGAATCATTTTTTGAGGGATAACATTAGAAATCGGTTGAGCATAAAAGTGTAAGATAAATTTCTTTCGGATCATTGTTTTAATAAAATTACCGACTCATAAATGATCAATAAAAGAATAAATTATATTTAATAGATTCTTAAAAAAGAGTCGATTTAACAAGAAATTTATTTCATTTTTATATGATTTAAAAATAAAATAAAATGTAACTTCTATGTAACAAATTTTAATATAATATATTATAATAACCAATTTTAATATTAAATAAAAATTATTGTTACTTTTTAATTTTACTAATTTAAAGTTTTAATAATATATAAAAACTAATTAATTTAATTATAATAAATAATTTGATAAAAAATTTATTTTAATTATAAATTAAAACTAAATAATTGTATAAAAAATAACCTATA